CATAGAGGGGGATATTACCAAGTTTTGATGCTGAAAAATTGAGTTTTATCGAAAACAAACCTGATATTCAAAATCAACATAGAAAACTACACCAGAAAAAGTATGTTTCATTATAGAATATTTTTCATTGAAACTTTACCTGCGGAGAACCACAGAGAAAATTTTTCGGGTAAATGACTGAGGAGAAGTATAATGAAATTTTCATAGGAAACATTTTAAGATGAAAAATATGTTTTCTAGTGCAGTTTTCTATGCTAATTCCGAATATCAGTTTCGTTTTCGATAAAAATCAACTTTTTGCAATCAAAAATTGATAATATCCTTTTTTATGTTATTTTGAGTGGAAGTAATCCTTGTCTAAACGTATCGTTGTTCTTTTGCTAAAAAAAAATATCAAAGAGTTGTTCTAGAAATATTATATCCTCATACCACCTACAATAAAAATATAGTTCAACAACAAAATATTAACAAATCGAGAGAGTATAACCTATGGAAAAAAGATCAGCATCTTGAAACGTATCTCATAAATGATACGAAGTAGATGATTTTAATCAAAAATGCTTCATTTTTTGTAAGATGGAGAAGTTATGAAATATCTTAGATGATAGCACTTGATGTGCGCGATCACCAGTAGAAATATCAGAACGATTGATTTTTGCTGCATAAAATGCGATTGACCAACATTTTGATAACAAAACAGACTTATTTAATGCTGTTACAGAAGTCTTTATAGAATCGACGAAAACTCCTGAACTTTTCTGTGCAGAAGAACAATACTTTAACAATTATAGTTAGAAAAATGAGAAGTCGAAAGTCTCACAAATTGAAATGTGAAAGTCAATTTTACTGAGAAAACCACCTCAACAATCGATAAAAAAAATCATTATTAAAAATTCTTTTAGCACTTTGATTATATGTGTAGGAAAAAGTGATCAAATCGAGCTGAAAATTTCAGAGAATACTGAATTCACTACTATCTACAACATATCAAAAAATGAGCGAACTCTGAAATGTCATTCTATCATCAATGTTTGAATCTCTCAATAATTCATTTTCAAGGCCTCTCTTAAAAATCGATCTTGGGTCATAAACATTCAAATCGCACGAAATTCTCGAGATATGTCGGGGCTGTAATGGGAAGGCTATAGTAAAATTTTCAGTCCCATATCATGACGTTTGAGGGAGATATTCAATAAACAAGGTTCAAAAATAGCGCATTTGGCGGCTCAAATTTCTCAGTAGACCTTCACTCCATAGACTTTATTCTTTTGTTTGAATGAACATGTCAGGGTGCATAGCATGGCAGAGCTCTATTTTTTTTAAATGTTAATTTTGTAAGAGGAGAAAAGAGATGAAAGATTCAATGCCTCAAAAACTCTCAAAAAATGGCGCTCTAATTGTAACAGTACTCTTGGTTTATGAAAGATAAAGATTGTCAATTGACCATTGTTATTGCTGACTTTAACATCGAGAAGAGGTGTAGATGTTCTTACTAGCGACACACACACTCATACTCACATGTACACCTACACCCACATCCTCTCTACAAAAGCATGCATACGTTCTTGCATACACGGGCAATATTACGTGTGTACATGCGCAAAATTCCATGTACGTAAACGTGAATGTAGTTTATTCTGTGATGCATTTCCATGACTGCTATGTTAAAACAATTCATGTATACGCACGCAGCATTATTTCTGCATTTATGTATATTTTATAAGCTTTTGTGTTTAATTGGGTGACATTCATCCAAGGGAACATGTTAATTTAAAAGTAGAAAAAGCAATGATTTTTGTAAAAATATTTATTGAATGAAAACAATGTGTATGTCTGTTTTTTTTTTTGATTCAATATCATTAAAACACTCTAAGTTTATAGATTGGAGAGGTAGGAGACATAAAAAGAAAAGAGAAATATATACATATTTTTACAATGCATCAATTTGATTGTTGAAGGAACAGAACTTATTTAGTGAGATATATAAAGAAACAAAAATAGGAACAATAAAAATGGTAGATGATTGTTATCGGTATTAGTCGTAAATTGTATATGAAAAGAATGAAAAAATACCCATGCTCAAGTGAATTATTCGTCAAAATGGTTAGGTTATAAGAGTTTTTGAGCTTTTATTGAGAGCAAAGCAACTAACATTTGTCAGCGATTTATACAAGAAGTTAGTAGTAAAAAAATAGAAATTGGACTAAAATTTGAGTGAAGTATTTTGATGGTGATAAACAAACATGCATTAATCTTTTTTTTCTTCGAAAACAATCTCTCTAAATGAATTGATAACATGATAAATGACTGTGATGCTCTAACTGTAGATCACTAGAATCTCTGCTAAGAATTTTATAAAACACTGTATGACGAATCGCGGCATGGAAAATATATTTAACAGAGTTCTTACATCAGTATCATGCTATCTATAACTTTTAAAACTTGCTCAAGAGACTTTTTGAATCAAGATAAACTTGCTTTATTCATTTGCGCTTGTCATGTTTGTTACACAACTATTTCTTTTTTTCCTAATATTCGAATAGATTTTACTGTGTTATAATCATAAAATTTATCTCGCAAACAGCCCTTTTTGAGCGATATAGTTTTGAGTGTGACATGATGAATATTTGTCTATATGTCAGCAGATCTTTATTTCATTAAAAAAAAATTTTTACTCATAATACGAATCCAAATATTCATTTAACTTGTTTGCGAAATAACTCATCTCCGCTCTTCCCTGAAAAAATGTATTATAAATACTGCTGTAACACGTTTGTGAAAAATTTGTTGTTTTCAGTAATAGAAAGTTTTAAAATGCGTTTAAATTCATAACAAATAAATAAATGTGTCAAATGTATAAAAACCAATGCATTCGAATGATGCTATTTAAAACAAGCGTACATCGGAGAGAAAAAATACATTGTAAATAAAACAGATGAGTTTAAATGTGTTACAAATAAAAAACAACATTTTTAAACGCAAAAATAGCGTTTTTTCTAATAGCTAGCGTTGAAATGCTGTTTCGTACAATTATTTTTCCATGGAATGTAATTCCGTTCTATTCTATCATTATAGTAGGTTTTGATGCTTTGGCCGCATAAAAATCATTGCAGTGCGCGTAAATCGGGAATGTTTATCCTTCATTATTCGTCGCATGATTCGACTCATTAGTTAAGACACGGAGTGATCTTTGATAAGTAATATGACTATTAAAGATTATGTAGTATATAGGATGTGTGATAACCAGTTGGTATCTTTATTCGACTCGTTTCAGTCGAGGTAGTCATCGATTTCACACTCGGTGAAAAGAACTAGTCAATCAACCCTTCTCAAAGGAGCTAGAGTTGGTATACAAGCTACTTCGAAACACGCGTATGAGGAAATGTCACACTCCTTTCTAGAAGAAGCAAGATACTGAGTTATGGTCGTGTTCACATTTTTATGCAGCTGTTTTACTATTCTACTGAATGTTATGTTGTTTGTCGAACGACACTTTAGTCGACAGACTTTTCATCGAAGTAACTTTGTCGAAATTTTTTTGTAGAAAAGCATTTCGTCGAAAGAACATCTCGTCAAAAGTGAATTCTTTTCTTCTTCTTATTTGTCTCACCGCCAGGAGACAAGTTCAAAAATATCTTCTAATTAGCTTTGTTCCTTTGGCGACGATGGAAGAATTTTAGCGTACCATTGAATAGAATTACATGCTTTTTGTCGAAAAATACTTCGAGGAAAGGTTCACAGCCCCTCGAGACAATTCCAGATCCTTCAATTCTTCTACAGAACTATTCAGAGGTAAGAGGACAATGAATTTTCTCTCACACTCATGTTCGTAGTGCTCTTGCCCTCACACTTGAAGTGCCTTGCATCGCTCTTACCCTTACCGCCATGCTCACCCTCACCCTCACATTTAGAGTATCCTTGTATGGCACTTACCCTCACTATCACACCCACCTCACCTTTACGTTTGGAGTGTTCTCCATAGCCAAGAAAATACTTTCGCCGAAAAGCAGATATCTATGGGAGCTTATCAATGAAGTGCTTTGTTGGTCAAATGTCGTATCGACGAAATGTTCTGTTGACGAAATGTTGTGTTGACGAAGTGTCCTGTCGCCGAAATGTTGTGTTGACGAAGTGTCCTGTTGACGAAATGTTGTGTTGACAAAGTGTCCTGTCGACGAAATGTTGTGTCAACGTAGTGTCATGTCGACGAAAAGTTTTCGACCAACAACATAATTGCCTGCTATCCCTACTCAGAGAACATTTGTTTTGCTTTAGCAGAACTCATCGAGTGGGTGTGGATGTTGCCTGTTTTTCATCACTAGATACTCTAAAGCTATTGATCATCCATCTGTTTATTATGAGTATATACTTATGCCATAAAAATAATTGAAAGCAACATATACTTCACCATGTTTTCCAGTATATTCTCAATAAAAGGAGCTCTGAAGTGATGTCAACATCACCGAGATGTAATCGACTATTCGTTGAAAGAGATGATATGGTACCATGGTAGCATGAAAGTATGCAAGTTTATGCATGAAAAAAAACTCGAGAATATGCTCAATAATGAATACAAATTATTTTATTAACAGTAATAACATACAATTTTGATTGCACTACAAAAACTGGCATTCATTTACAATGTTGTTTATTCTCAATAGATTAAGAAGTGTCTTTGACGTTCTCAATTAATGGATATATGTCATATCGTGAAAAGAATTTGTTTAAGATAAAACGAACAAAACACTACCGATAAAAAAACGAAACAAAACAGAAAAACATAAAAATCCAAGAGCAAACATAAAAATCCAAGAGCAAACATAAAAATCCAAGAGCAAACATCTATATAGATACAGAAACATACAGCACATAAAAATATGCAGATATATGTATACACGAGGTAGAATCGATGAAGTAGTTCGGCCTTCATATAAAACTCTTAAAAGGTAAGACTTCATTGTTGATTCAAAAAGAAGAAGTGGAGTCATAAATTAGTAAAGATGGTCAATAATATATTCAATCGAGTAAGTACACTATATATATAGCTGTCAGTTCTAAGAACTAATATGATCAATTAAAAATTACATTTATAAGTTTAAAAGTTATGACGAACATTTGTTATGTACCGTCCTATAGAAATATGAGGTTAATATTGATTAATACTGATGAATTGTGAATGTGAGTCTAGATGAAGACAAGATCCACAATCACATATTGAGATAATGTGTAGATGTTGCTAGGGAAGTTGAATTAAAATGAAAACACTGTCGTCAACATTCTAACGACATTTGTTGCCCACGTTTTATTTTGATAGATATCTTACTCTTGGTCGAGTCGCAGAACTTACAATAAAATCTGCTTGATTTATTCGATAAAATTATGATTTATGCTATAGCTTGCATACTCTACACAATAGCATGGCAAACATACATTTAGTTGAGAGAAATGGCAAAGATAAATTTTGTTCTGTATGAATAGTGTAACATATTGCTTTTCTGGACATTACGCAGTGAACACATATTAATACTATAAAACACAAATCTTTGCATTTAGTTTCGTCGTTCGAATAATATTGTCACCTCGAATGAGACAAGTGTTCCGGCGACAACGATAAGTGACGATGAGGTCAGTTATGCAGTTCAGACTGTTATTGTTTCAATTGTTTCGCTGAAAATTAGGACCATCACGAATGGGATCGTCCAATAGAGTTTGTGTTTTCACTTATTTCGAACTCAGTGGGACTTGGTAATGTCTGGCGTTTCCCATATCTCGCTGCCAGAAACGGTGGAGGTACGTCATGTATGTCTATTGGTTTTCTTCAATTCATTCTATCTTCTAGGTGCTTTTCTTATTCCGTACTTCATTTTGTACTTCTTAATCGGAGCGCCTATGTATTACTTGGAATTGGCCATGGGTCAGTTTTCAAGTCGAGGTCCAGCTACTGCATTTGTTCTCGCTAAAGGATGGCGAGGTAAACAAATGATAAATAATTAATATTTGCTCTCATCTTTGCTTTCTAAGGCGTTGGCTTTGCTATGATTATCAATAGTGTATTGGCCATGCTTTACTATAATGTAGTTATTGCATGGGCATTATTCTACTTTATATCGTCGTTTCGAGGACATCTTCTATGGTCTGATTGTGACCATTGGTGGAATACGGATCGTTGTATCGTGCCTGGAAACCGCGGAACAACTTACGCAGTTAATGGAACAACATTTAACTGTACGGAATCACAGTATCAAAATTTTAGTATATACAAATGTACAGAAATAAACATGAAGGACCGAATTCCTGCCACAGAAGAATTTTACTAGTAAGAATTTATGCTATCTCGTGAAATTAGTGGCAAAGACGTATTTTAAGAGTTGGACAGAAGTTCTATGCTTTTTACTTATTTGTAGCAGACTTCTTCTACAGAAAAGTCCCAGCTTCGATGATTTCGGCACGCCAACACTTTATATGTCTCTTTCACTATTCGTTTCATGGATCATTGTTTGTCTATGCATCATTCGAGGTGTCAAAACATCTGGCAAGGTTTGTTTAACATGCTACTTGCACTGTTGCATTTATTTCCATAGGTTGCCTACTTCACGGCCATTTTTCCATATTTGGTTCTGTTGATTCTGATAATCTACACAGCAACATTGAGTGGTTCTGGTGATGGTATCCGGTTTTATGTTGTTCCTAAGTGGGAACTAGTTGGTGACTTCAAGGTACGACTTACTTTTGAGATAGGTGCCATTTCGCTTTCGATTTCTACTGTTTTATATTTATACAAAGAATAATCAGCAAATGAATTTTTCGAAGAATATAGTTAGAAGGCAAACGAAAGTAGTGCCCACTTGAAATATCACTTTGTGTCCACAAGTTTTCGTTATTCACCGTCAATCTTGTATTCGTGTCTGAAAATGACTATGTGTATATAGATGCTGTGAAACGAAGATTTTTCTATATGATTAAATTTGTGCAATAATCATCATCTTTAAAGGCTTTGATATGAAGGAGTTCCTTAAAAAACAACAATTTTTTTCTTTTGACCAGAACATATTGTCATAATATCGGTTTCTATTCAGTTCATGAGCTTAACAAATTCTAATTTAGTTATACCCCAGGCAATACTATCCTTCGTCTGCTACATGCTGCTGTGTGCTGATGTATCAGATGCGATAACTATTGACCACTGCCCCTTGACACCCTCATGCAGTTCAATACCGATTCGTAAACAAAACCGAAAAAGAAGCCTGGCTAGTCGTCGTAAAAACTAAGGAAAGATCTGATTGTCGTTTGAAAATTTTGAAATAAATCATTGTTCGTGAAAGTTACTAGTAGATACTAGCACATGCTAAACCACTTGAATTCAAACTGAACTGGACAGACCTCTAAGAATTCAAATAAAATATGAATTCACTTAGCACATGTAGTGTTTTTATCATAAAAAAACTGATCATACCAAGTCCGTACTTATGATCTATCAGTTTGCTTTTCAAATAATTTACATTTCTTGAATCCAGACAACATCAACTAAGTTGACTGAACTATCATTTGAGTCATATTCTAGAATCTGCTGTCGATTTCTTACCAATGATTTATCATATTCAGGATGCTGATCGCAGAAAAGAGATAACTATCTCGTCATAACTACCAACCTCATAAAAGAGATAAGAATTAATATTCAATATGTATTAGAAAGGCTCACACGCTCTGACTATCGTTATTCTCAACCCTTTAGTCTGCATACATTAGGCAACAGTATTATACACTATTGTTTACAAAATGTGAACATGAATCGATGTGTCACATTCAAGACAGTCGAGTTTCTAATCAAGAAAAAGCATTGAATAGTATTTATATATTTTCTCCATAGTAAGATCGACAACCTGAAAGAACCAATAGAAATCTTCAATAATATCAGGTTTTTGAGAACTAATGTATGGTTTTGCGTAAAATTAAAGATAAACTCGGTCACAATATGACTTCAGTTTTATATATGCGAAGTTAGTCGAATTTTTCTTTTAGACATGGCAAGCAGCTGCCTCACAAGTTTTTTTCTCTTTGGGTATCAGCTTTGGCTCATTAATGGCCTACTCAGCATCGAACAAGTTTCATAACAACTTTTTCAAGTAGGTTTGCTTTGCTTTGCTTTAGCCATGTACAATGAAGTTCTTCCAAATTACTTTAGGCAAATGTGTATCGTTGTTTTCTGTGATTGTCTAACAGGAGTGTTTGCTGGATTTGCCGTCTTTGCTACTATTGGCTTTCTGGCAAAATCATTAGGTGAAACAGTCGAGAAATACGCAGAATCATCAGGTCCTGGTCTGGCATTCATCACTTATCCAGAGGCTATTTCGAATATGCCGGCTAGTCCATTCTTTGCAATTATCTTCTTTTTGATGCTGCTCGCACTTGGTCTAGGCTCTCAGGTGAATGAGCTTGTCACTCTTCTTATGGTATACGAATATCTATCGATCCATTTAGTTTGCATTCACTGATGTACCCATCACTTCGATAGTGGAGTTATTTCCTCGTCTTAGAAGAAATCGTCCATATGCTGTTGTAATCACTTGTGTTCTTTCATATCTCATTAGTCTCACGTTCGCTTGTCCTGTATGTGAATTTGTCACTCGCTGATGATTTTGATTTAATGATCTGCATCGTATTTAGGGTGGTATTTATTTCTTCGAGCTCTTTCAAGAGTATGCAGCCAATACTTCTATGCTTGTTGTCGGCTTTTTTGAAGTGATCGTGATATCTTACATTTATGGTACATTATTTCGTTCTCATTTTTGCAATCACTTGATCTGTATTCATTGACGATAGGATTCAATCGATTTATGGATGATGTAAACATGATGCTGAATAAACGAGCTGCTGAAATATATCTATTTCTAACTTGGTATATTTCAGCACCGCTACTCACTCTTGTAAGTATGAATGCGTCGTGATGCGTGACTATGAAATTAGCATAATTCACATTTGTTATTGACTTTTGGTTGTTAAGATCATAACTGTAACAAAACTGATCAGTGCAGCACCGATAACACTTGGTGCGGGTGGTGGATTCCCTCAGTATACGTTTCCGAGATGGAGCACCATATTGGGCTGGTTCATTTTCGTTTTTTGCATAATTCCTATTCCTATTGCATATGTAGTCAGCTACGTAAAGGAATTTCAATTTTTGCGCAAGATACAGTCAGTAAGTTATCCCATCGTTTCATATTGCATAGATTACTTCTATTTCAATAGAGATCCCAATCAATGATCGAAAGCAATGAAGAAAAGCCAATTTACTTGCAAGCTTTCACTGAAAACAACTTGCCGAGTTCGGATTGGGGTCCTAAACGAGAGGCAAATCGAATAGGTTTTTATCAACGAACGAAAGAGCCGTTGACCAAAGGTCGACTTTCTCCATCTAATAACTCAATATCCCCACCAATCGTTGTTGATCATTTGAATGATAAACCAAACTAATTGAACGATGAAACAATTTAGGAATACCGATTCCGATAATCTTGAACAATACAGATTTTCTATTTTTCTTTTACACATATAGTTGTGTCCTACTAATAGTGGAAAACCTATCGTTTTCCCAACATTATCACATATTCATAAAGCAAGTATAAATTTGATCAATACATAATTGACGTCCTATTTGACATTGATAGTTAAATACTCTGAAATTGTAAGAAAACGAAAGGTACAGTATCATGATTATTCAGTATGAAGAATAGGGATACCTGCCAATTGAACAGAATACTAATATTAAATCATAAAAAATAATTAATCAAACTAGTAGTTGTAGATGAATAGAATGAAACTCATTCTTCGTCATGATGTATTCCTTACGGAACACTTCTGCATTCTAGCAGTCTTTAAATAACAGTGCAAATAAAGGAAAACTTGGTTTCGATTTCAGCAACTATTCTTATTCAACAAATTCATCATCTAGTGAACATACCTTATTAGATTCAGAGCCAGAATTGACTGGAACGCTCAGCGAATCGACTCGACTCAATTAAGATCGAGTCGAGCTCAGACATAATAACGAGATTTCATCGATTGACAAGTTGTGCCGTAATGAACTATTTCAATGGCTTTATCTTCACTCTACATTGAGCTACTGCTCTCAAAATTCTACCACAAACTTGTGGACTCATGAGAACTTATTGCTGAAATTTTCAACTGAATTAATTGAGTTGAGCTTGAGTTATTGACGTCAGACTGAGAACTATGACTAACTACTTGGTAGAAGTTTTCAATGTGAACTTCATATCTCCATTATTCCAAGGTAATTTCTTACCAAATTTTGACTATAGACAGCTACACCAGTGGGCTTATAAATGAGAAGTTGTGTGAACATGAAGGTCAAAAAATGATCGAGATATGACTTAGACAATCTAATGATATTGTTGACCTGATAACTCCAATCTATATCAATCGATTAAGAGCAGGTTGGTACTAGTGATCAGAGTTTACTAAGATCAATCTAGATTCAAAATATCAGTCCCATATCATGAGAAATAAGACTAGTTTAGGGGCGACCACTTTTGTTCAGGACTGTAACATTCGAAAAGAAATTATGAAAAATATTTTTTCACGGTTGTATATATAATTTTAAATATGTCATTGTTTTTTGAATAAGTTTGTATTATTTACGAATCTAATATTATATTGGATATTTGTATTGGATGCAGAAAATCCAGTAAAGAATTTAAATTTGAAAATTTTTCAATGTTTCAATGAAGATGAAATCAAATCTTGCCAATGCGAAGCCTCATGAATGCTTCTTCTATTTTTCGTAAAGAAGATATATTTTTTCGGATTCGGTTTTTTGTTTTAATCATATTTCAAGGTTCGTAAATTCCGATCACTGTATTAATTTTACAATGAATGAAGTTGAACAAATGGTACGCAATGAATAGTTTGCCATTATTTGTTGACAGTCGATTTATTTCAAAATATGTTAACATTGGTGTATATTTTTTTATAATTCGAATACTCATTTCAAAGTACAGCCACGGAGAATTGTTACATGTGTGATTCATCGAATTCTCTCAGTTAGCAGATCATAGTGCAGTTCTGCTAGTGATAATAATCATACTGTCATTGATGATAATGCCATTAGCTGGAACAACTCAGACAACAATTTTCCGGAGTATGTTGTCGAAGCAATCGCTCGACTGAATCATCGATCTTCACAAAATCATTTAATAATAAAAATGCTATAGTCACTATTATCTTTGCTATATAGAAGTAGGTGGCTTCTTTCTGGAATATTGCCATCAAAAACGAACCTTGTAAGCATCAGGTGTCGAATATCACACAGAATGATTGTGGAATATTCGATAAGTGATAATTTAGCAGATTCTTTTTCATATAAATCTTGTTGAAAGGTACGTGCTACTTTCATATAGTACAAGCAATGATGACCGTTGCAGTTCTATTATTGAGTTTATTATTGAGTGATTTAACAACAAGTCAAATTCCAAATCCTACTCAGTATCGATTCACCTTGACAACTGATGGCATTGCTCGAGAACGTTATGCTATCGATAAGCAAGTAGGCAAAATGTCTCGTTTATGGTTTTCGAATATTGGTGATGAAGAGTTTGGTGGCAATCAAGATATATATGTACGTGATGATGGTCGCACGTATTTGTTTAATTTCATGTCGCAACCACGACAATGTATTGCAAATAGAGGTGGCCCATACAATGAAATGAATTATTGGCCAAATCTTGTTCAATCATTTGGTGGTGAACAAAAAAAATATGATGAGCTAATATTTGATGCTGATTGTGATGGAACTTGTCTAACCTGGAAAACTGAATTTAATAGAACATATGAGCATTATCGTTATGTGAATCGATTATATGTCAAAAAAGCAGAACAAAAACCAATCAAAATGGTTACGAGAGCATATAATCTGGACACAGGAGAATTGGTGTCAACATCTATTACGAAATTTACCAATTGGATTACAGGCAAAGTACCCGATTATGAATATGATTATCCAATGGATTTGGAAACATGTTACAAACCATAGATTTTTTTTCTTTTTCCTATATTCTCGAGCTGGAAAGCATTGTTGTGAATTAATAAACATTCTAAAGGAAAAAACACGAATTTTTATGATTTATACTTCATATCTTTTTCAAGTAAAGACACATTCGATCTCTTCTAAATTAACTGTGATTGCAGTTAACCTAACAAGAGTGAACTTTTATCGAATCTAATGCATGAAAAAGATCAGAACAATATTGATGTATATACGGAGAAGGCGCGATTTCAAGTGGTGACAATCATATGTCTTATGCATTACTCTTATTTTCTATGTTTTAGAATGATTTTGAATACTGATAGACACAATCATTAACTAGTAAGACTGAGCGAAGATAAGAATCGATCCGTATCGGTTGGTGTAAAGAAGAAACTTTTGTTGATCAGTAAAAAATTGGCTACTCATAATATTTATACTTTTTTGAACTCATTCTTCACACTTGTCTCTATTTTCTCATATAGATTTCAACAGTTCAACACACAACTACCATATACAGCAGTTGAATAATTCCGTATACAAAGTGCAATTTTAAACTCTATTATAATTCCGTAGTCTAATCACCTCACTACAAAATTTGTTGTTGATCTTCGTGCAGTCTTGCTTTACTTCATAAACAGTTACTTGTGAGCGTGTGTGTTCGATCTAAGTCGAGTCCACAAGTGTGATATGTCAAGACTGAATAATTGATTGGTAAGACCAATGAAAGCATCTATTAAAACAATTGAATTAATACTAAAATGATTTATCAATTCTTATTGTTCTACCTTTTGATTAATGATAAAAGACCCTAGAACATCACATTGACTAAAATCTAAATATTAACATTTTTTTTTTTGAATGAAAAAAAAAGAAAACTTACCAAAAAAAACATAATACTAATCATTGTAATCTCACTAATGTAAAAAAACTATGACGATCGATTGATCATTCTAATATTCAATGTAAAAGACTTTGGGAAAATGTCAAGCTCTGGAGCTCAGCCGTTTTAGAAAACAGAAAACTATTATTTATTACAAAGCATAGGGCAAATACTACAAAATACTATTTAATAAACGGAATATACTTATTTATTTCGACATATCTCAAAAACTTCTTCTAAACACCTGCCATCATACCTTCCAAAAAAATATTTTGTTTCTCAATCATTCGCATAGATTTCTTTTTTTTGTCGATGGAAAATTTATACAACTTCAATTGGATAAGTATGGAGGACATTTGGTAGATTATCAATACGAGACGTAAATGATATGTTTTGTTTCATCCATATGTTCTTGTACAGCATTTGAATAGCGTGTCCTTACCACAATCGACTTATAGCAAATAATGTTTATCTTAGTGATATTTATCGATAAAGTATGGCAATCTTTTGTTCATATATTCTTTTAAAAATGTTTCTTTATCAACAGCTTGCTTACTTATCTGAACGTATACATACGATACTCCTTTCAAGATCATGGCCACTTAAGTCATCACTCTTTGTTCAAATTTTATTTCCTTTAGAATAAGTGCGACTTCATTTCTCGTACTTCAAATTTTTGTCTATACGCATTTTGTGTTACTTTCTTTTTTTGTTAGTGAAAAACTTTATGAAAAAGCAGTCTAGAGAAAAAATTTCAAGAAAAAAAGGCAGACTTCACTACTTCTTGTACTTCCCCATGCTTCTTTATACTTCTCTATACCTCTTTGAACTTTTTCATACTTTTACATATGGATATCTGCTTCTATATACTTAGGTCAGTCCAAAAGTAGTGGCGGCCGCATCTTAATTTTGTATAGAAGGCTTGAGAAAACATTCCCTCTATATAGTCTTCAAGAGAAAAGAATGGTCTATTTTTCTATGCTATTTGATCATACATCAACTAATATCATAATAATAAAATTTCGATAAGAACTGTTTTTGTTGAAAATTAGCTGGTAACATTAGATCATAATGTATGTGGCGGTACTTTTGCATTTCATTTTATCATCACTTAATACGTTGTATTAAAAGCGCAAAATATACTACAAGATGCAGCGTGAAAAGCTCTACAATTTATAAAAGACTACTTATTTTATAGTCGTATTTTTTGTTTTCAAAATGCATAAAACTCTGAATTACGAAATTTCGACGTTGCAAAAACGATATTGTTCTTTGGTAACAGATGAATTCGGCTTTTCCTATCTCATGTTTTTATTATCTGATGGTTTATTTAAAAAAAGCAAAATATACTACAA